CCCCACCGCTCCAACTGTCGCCCAACCCCCCACCACCGCCCCAACCGTTGCCCCAGCCCCGCCGTACCTGCAATTGTAAATCAAAACCCTCCCTCAACCGTAGATCTACGAAGAGATGAAATCGAATCACCGCACGTAGATCTGATCGGGAAGAAGAAGAATAAGAAAAAAGAAGGGGGGGAAGGGAGAGAGAAGATCTGGCCAAGAAAGGAAAGGGGAGAAAGAAGAAAAAGAAGAAAAAGAGGGGGGGAGTGAGAGAAGTTGATGGCGTGATTTTGCCGAGAAAAGAAAGGGAGAAAGAAGGAAAAGGAGATTGGTGAAAGTCTACTGATGGATGATGATAAGGAGGACAATTCTGCAACAAGCTGCTCATCCTCTTCCTCAATGCTGACCCAGGGTACATTCGAATTTCAGCATCAATTTCTTCATTTTTCTTTCAGAATTAGGGTTTCAAATATATCTTCACAAGGTGTTCTGTTTTGGTAAAAGAATATGACAATGCATAACTTTGATGCTCAAATTTTGATTTTGTATGTATCTAATTTTGGGCTAGGAAAATAGCTCCAAAAGTAGTATCCTTCTTGAACTCAAGTATTTATTTTCTAGAGTTGCATATCTAAATGTTGTTACTTAGAGTAGTAGGCTTTTTTTCCCTTTACCTCTTAATGTCATGATATGACATATACACTCTAAACCCTTGGACCTTCTTTTTCAATATACTCCGTATTGTTTAAATTTAACTATTTTTTACCCCGTGTTATCCCGTCAACATTTCCAGCATTAACTGTGTCTCTCATTCATGCTACTCTTTCAATCTCTCATGCAAGATTTTAGGTAACATCTCAAACGAAAACTACTATCCATGAGATCCAAACAGTGCGACACGACTGATTGCGGTAGTCTACTACCAGGCTTCACTATTTTCCCAAGCTCTGTTCCAATATAGAAGCAAGCATAGGGGTGAGCAAACTTTGGTAAACCGACCGAATCGTGCCGAAAACGAACATTTTGGTACGTACCAAAACCGAACCAAATAATTTGGTTCGGTATTCGGTTTTAGATTTTTGTAAAATTCGGTTTTCGGTTCGGTAAAAATATTGGCGTCGGTAATTCGGTAAAATTCGATTACCGAAATAATTGAAGAATATTGTATAATTTTACCCAACCCACTAACCTAGTACCAATATCCGGCCCAATTTAAAATATTGAATATCCAGCCCACTTCTAAATTAAGTCTCACTAGGTTTCCCAATTCCCATCTTCGATCAATTCAATGGAATCCGCCGACAGTGGGGAAGTCTCTCCGTCTTCATTGTGCTGCACTCTTGCCTTCTTTATCGTGCTGGCTTCTTCGATCGCGCTGCCTTCTTCGTCCGCTCCGCCTGGCGCTGCCTTCTTCGTCCGCTCCGCCTGGCACTGCCTTCTTCGTCCCCTCCGCCTGGCACTGCCTTCTTCGTCCCCTCCGCCTGGCGCTGCCTTCTTCGTCCCCTCCACCTTGTGTTTTGTTATTTTTACTTTGTGGTATGTAATGGATTTAAACATCATGAATTTAATTATGTTTTGTCATTTTAAATTTAGAGAATGTAATGGACTTTTAGATTTCAAAGTACTTTTTTCGGTTTTTTCGGTAAAACCATTTACCAAACCGAATTATTTCGGTTTGGACCGAACCGATTAATTTAATTTTGGTTCGGTATTCGGTACATAAAATTAATAACCGAAATTTTGGTTTACCGAATTTTTGGTTCGGTTCGGTATGGTTTTACCGAATGAACACCCCTAAGCAGGCACACAGGTAACAATGGGCAACTGTGATTATTTCAAAAGGAGTATGTAGTGGGATTGTGTTATTAATGATTTGTTTCTAATTGCTAACATTTGTTTCATATTGTTGTTTGAGTTTGTGTCTATGGATGGAATGTAGTATGAAGTAAATATGATAGTTTGGCCATCTCCGATGGATGGTATAATTTTTTATGGGTTCTATTTTTAAAGTTTGGCTGAAGTAACATATATTTTCAAGGTTTATGATTTTGTTTCTTTTTTGTTTAAGTAACACCACACATTATTTAGAAGAGACTATGCTTTGCGATTGAATCTGGCTGTTTGTCCATATCTTTCAGAGAGATATATAATTTTGATTACGAGTTCTATTTTTGAAATCCAACTTAAGCACGAGATGTTTTCTATGTTTCTGTTTTTGTTACTTCTGGCTCAAGTACTCTAGATTTTCATTCTTATATTAATTACTCCATCCGTCTGGAAAAGAAGTTCCCGGT